TTACCTCAACCAGTAACGGGTCCGCCCTTTCGCCAGTATGTACAAGCTGCCTCCAGGAGACTTCGAAACTCGTGGCATGCTTGAACTAATAAGTTTACAACACACAACGGCCCAAAAATAAATACACTGTATTTGCAAACACTTCAACTGCCAAGTGTAGTGTCTGTATTGTTTGTTACTCGCAAACAGAACCGCCCACTTTGCATAATCCAAGCTTTAATGAATGACGTCGCCATTCGTTATGAGCACAGACCGTCACAAAACTCCATAGCGTGAAAGAAAACAACCAAAAAACAACGTTTTTCACAGATATAAATGTCGGTTCATGATTTTTCTCGATAACAACTTTCAAAGCATTTCATTTACAATTAGCCCATGTAAATTTTGCTGCTAAAACGGGAGTTAACGTTGATTGAAGCTTGAAATCATAAAAGTGCCGATTTATCGGTGTTCGGTTTTTGGCAATTACCGTTGACCTAATTTTAAATGGGTTTCAGTGAATAGCGCTACGATGTCGCCGTTTAGCTTTTCTTACTCTTGGATATGTTGGCTTCATATCCGTATTTACATATTTGCAAAATTCTATTGCGTTTTTTCACAAACCTCGCGCAAACCACCGGTATACTTTAACACCAAATAACGTGCTTGAAATTTGTGATTTTTGAAAAGAAAAAAAAAACTTAATGCAAAAAATAGAAATACGGATTTAAACTTCATGATCTTTGCTTCAAAACAGTGTAAAGTTTTTGATCGCATGAATGACTGTAGAGATGACAATTAAAATTTTATTCACGTTAGTTAAATTATTGACCCGCTAATTTTCAGAATCACGTGACGCTACAACAAACATAATGTTCACAAAATATTAATAATAAGAAAATACAAGTCAAGAGCTTTCCAAACATATATAGATTGTATGGTTTCTTGTAAAATTTATTCCGATTATAGGTGTTTACATTTTTCATGCAAAAAAACTATCCTGCTACCCGAATTGACTTAATGTACTGTTATTTTGCAAAAAGCATTTACATGCAAATGGTTTGACTAAACAAATAGATAACATTGTATGAGTAAGCTATCAATAGAAGCCAGCAGCAACTACCAGCTTTCTGATAACACAGACATGACACGTTATCTCATTTTTCAATACCGTAATATGTGGCTAGGTTTTTCAAAGAATTTAAATTTGTGAGCATTTTTAATGGCTCATCGCCTCACAAAATGACTGGTCTTAATCTTTTAACAGCAGGTTATATATTATTCACAGAAAAAATATATTTGCCTTGCCTATGATACGAATATGTAGTGGAAGGTTTAGATAAGCAGACAGCTGATTAATTCTATTGGATTGGCTGGTTGAATAAAGCTATTAATTAGGCACACACAATTGTTAAAAAAAAAAGCGATTAATGAAAAATCGGGATGAATTATGGGAATTGTTGCCATGGAGATTGATGTTCCACAGGCTGTATCAACAGTCGGAGCAATCCAACAAACGATTCATTTTGTTTACGCTGTAGATAAAGGTGGCAGCTTTCTAAGAAACCAGTTTCCAGCATAAAATGTAACATGTAGGCCGTTAATGCCACCTGTTGAAGAGATCTAAATCCTTAGGTGTGCATGGTATCATAGGAACAATCAAGAACACTACTTAAGGATATGGACGCTGAGCAAAGTAACGAAGATTGAAAGCTGTAGATGTCATCCCACATTACAGTCCTACAATGAACACCACTAGTGTAACGACAGAAAGTATCTTGGTTGAACCTGACAGCAACTTTAATAACATTGGAATAGTATTGATTGTATTGTTGTACATCATAACAGGGACAATTGGTAACATGCTGACAATCTGTGCTGTGTTTACAAGACCTAAACTGAAAACGATACCCAACTATTTTGTTGTTAACTTGGCACTGGCCGATCTGACAGTCTGCATCATTTGTGAACCATTCTTCCTTGTAAGTGCAATCCACCGAGGTTGGCCGCTGTCAAACACACTGTGCATAATTCTGGCAATCCTACTTCTAACGTCGGTGCACACGTCTATTGCTAACCTGGCATGTATAGCTTTAAACAGATGCATCAGTATCACATCAACAATGGAAACATATCAGAAGATCTACACACAGCGAAACACCATAATCATGTGCGTACTGACGTGGCTTGTACCGCTGACCCTTCTAATGATCCCGCTATTTGGATGGGGTCAGCTGGGTTATAACCATAAAATTGGCATTTGCGGTGTACCCGTTGGAGACCAAAACACCAAGTATTCCTTGTTCTTGACAATAAGCTTAGTAATTAGCAGCTACATTGTGATTGTTGTGTGTTATTTTAAAATCTACAAAGTTGTACATGATAGTAGAAGGAGAATACATATGATGAGGCTCCGTTTCGATCGCGAGCCAGTTGCAACTATTTCACGTAACAGCTATCACCAACAGAAGCAACAAAATTTCACCAAAGACTATAGGTTGGCTATGAATTTATTTATAGTTTTCATAGTGTATTCCATCTGTTGGGTGCCTTATGCTATCGTGACAAACATAGACAGGAACTCAAATATTAACTACAGTAATGTCATATGGTCTGCGGTTATACTAATGGCTTTATTGAACTCCTCTGTCAACTTCATCATCTATGCTTGGAGAAATAAACTATTTCGGGATGCGTTTATCAAACTTCTGTGTCTCTGTACACGTAAATGATAATGCAGCAACCACACACTCATCACACTGTTTGAATAATATGTTGACACAGGGACATTGTTGACTTGCAGCAAACAGTGGGAAGTCTAGTAGCAAGATTTTTCTATTTGTTAAAAATAACTAAAAATACAGAATATAGACTAGAAACTAAAGATATACAAGCCAAAATTGGCAGTAATAGGAAAAGTAATAGTATATAACACATCAAATGGCAAATTATCATTGTTTTTACAATGGTCATAACTGTTAACACATAATTTTTCAGCAAAGACAGGACTCTTGATCAGGCATATTATGTTGATATAATCTATTCATTGTACCGGTATATAAGATCTGGAATTAATGCCAGGTATATTGAAGAAGTATTTGATACCCACAAAGATGTGTTCTGGGAAAATCAAAAGTTCTTTTCAGCTAAAAGCATGGCCACTAAGTTTTCTCAAAAATTCAAGCATGGTATTTCAAAGGCCAAGCAGGGTCATGCTTTAAAGACCTGAGAAGAGTAGTGCTCACATTTTTCATTACAAATGAAAAACTGATGGGCCTACTACTACTATCTCAAACAAGGCCACATAGTTCAGTAGTTTTTCATAAAAATATGCTAGTTAGTTGACCATGGTAAGCCAATTTTGTTAAGACATTAAAAAAGAATTTGAACAAAAAATAAAATAATAAATTTAATAAAAGATAAATACATTTTTAGCACTTTATAAATGCGAAATACGACTTCATGTTGTATTTCATATATTTAAATTTACCACTTATTAATACATAAATATTATGCTTTTAATGATGTACCGTACATACAGAACCAATTAGAAGTGTCTTATCCCAACGTATTAATTTTTAAACTGTTGTACTAGTGATTTACAGCGATAAATGAAAGTTTTTCCAATCACTGACACAACAGGTTGTCAGTGTTCTGCTTGGTAAATCAAACACTGTATATGTAAACAATAAAAGATTGTAACGTTTGGCTACCACACAAAGACTTCTTTATTCTCATTCAAGAGATAACACAAATGGGTTTACATACCTTCCATAATTTCTCGTGATTTGTCTAACTGTCTCTGTGCTGCTGCCGACATTTTAACTGGTTTATAAAAAATATGGGGTCTGGTTTTTGTTCGGATGAAATTGCATAATTTCTTATTGTGGACATCCCATTTTTCTTGCTGTAAAGGATGAAAAAAAATATTTTAGCATGTTATAATATAACATTTGCTAGCCACCAAATTGATGGCAAATAACATTTTTATTTGGCAACCACAATTATGTTACTTGCACAAATAATTTCAGAATGGTGAATTAAACTATATGAAAAAGATATCAAGAAAAGATCCTGTTTAACAAGTCATTGAAAATGACACAGTCCCCGTTAAATTTTTGAAAATTCTCTTTGTGCTTGTCATATTAAAGCAGAGGGGTTGTCGCGAGCATGTCCTTGAAACTTGAGTTCCAAGTGGCGTATACAACAGATTGTTTATTTACATCAAAACATGTGTTCCATGTAGTAGCAATAAGGCCAAAAATTAAAAAAAACAGCCGTTATTCGGCCATCTTTGATCTGATTATGAAACACACTGATATGTATGATGTATGTGCCAAATACGAATGAAAATGGTACATAAATTGTGGAAATATAGTAGTAAGGCCAAAAAGTCAGATGGCTGTCAATTGGCCATCCTTGACCAGATTTTGAAACAAATTGTCATGGACATGCATCCTAACATGTATAAAGTACATGTAGGTGCCAAATTTGAATGAAAACTGACAGAGCACGTCTAAGATATTGCATAAAAAAACAAGCAGCCTCTCGGCTGAGATAGCTCCGCTGTTAGCAATGCACATTTCAATTAAAGAACAGAAGATATCATTAGAAAATGAACAATATGCATAGTATCAATGCAATGGGACTTGCTGTTTTCAACAAGAATTCAAAAATATAATTTTCGACCATAAATGATTGTGGTTTTTAACAAGAAGAAAATATCACTTTTTACCAAAAATGACAAAAATATTCATTAAAATTAGAGAATCGAAGATATCATCATGAAATGAACAAATCTGAAAGAGGTCCACATGTAGTACCTATACCGGTATATGTAATATCAAAGCAATTGGACTTGCGGTTTTTAACAAGAAGTTGAAAATATCACTTTTTACCAAAAATGACAAAAATATTCACCAAAATTAGAGAATTAAAGATATCATTACAAAATGAACAAATCTGAGAGAGGTCCACATGTAGTACCTATATATGTAATATCAAAGCAATTGGACTTGCGGTTTTCAACAAGAAGTCGAAAATATCACTTTTTACCGAAAATGACAAAAATATTCACCAAAATTAGAGAATTAAAGATATCATTACAAAATGAACAAATCTGAGAGAGGTCTACCCAAGGTACATATACACCAAGTATAAAAGCATTCAGGCTTGTAGTTTTCAAGAAGAAATATGACTCTGGACAGACTGGCCCACGGACGGACGGACACACGAACGGACGGACAGACTCAGAAACTCGCGGACGGTCAGGGACATGTATCCTAACATGTATGATCTGTGTACTAAATTTGAATGAAAACTGACAACACATGTCCAAAATACGACATTTTCAAAAAACAAGATGGCTGCCAGTCGGCTATTTTGAATCGAATCGCTAAACCACTGCATGTGCATATGTCCCACATAAAGTACTAGGTACATGCAAAGAATGAACGGAATTAGTCCAAGGGATTCTGAGATATGACTCCGGACGGATGGACGCACGGACGTACAGACGGACGGGGACCGAATTATAAGTCTCCGTTTTCGGACTTCGTCCAAATGGGGACTAATAATGCATTAACAGCAATATGAACCTGGAGAATATGATATTTTGTAATGTTATCGTCTCCCTTTTTGCCAAGTGACTAAACATGTTTGTAAGCCCAGAAATTAACTACCACCAAGATTAGATTAATCATATGGCATTTACAGAAACAAGAAAGAAACAATACTGAAGATGAAAGCAATCGATCACAAAAAATTTCATGTTTTTAATAAAATTGTCAAGCAATGTAGTAAAATTCATTTAATGACAAGACTGAGATTGATCGGCTGAGACTTGCGCTTTTTTCAACTGAATGGCAAGATAAACAACTTTTGTGAAGAGCAGCTTACTTTATCACATGATTCCGAAGCCTGGTAGCACCTTGATTTGTTCAAACAAGGCAAGTTTACGTAAACGTAGGAATTAGAGTTCTCAAAGAATAACATGCTGACCAAATTTATTCAATTCTGCCTACAATTGCAAACTACAGCTTTGTTCAATCAAACACATTGATTGATCACGTACCATTTGTGCTAGCTCCATTAACCTTTCTAGCTTTTGTAACTCTTGTTGTTTATTTTTTCTCTCTTGGAATAGCTCTCTTCGTTCACTCGCTATTTTAATTTTCTCTTGTTGTACTTGATCTTCTAATTTCTTTTCTATTGTCTTTCGGCGTTGTTCCTGAGTAAAACAAACAATGGGTCAATATTCCAACAAAGTGCAGAAGTTTCACCAACATGACTGTGCATACGTTGTCTAGCAATGAAATCTTGCGTACAACAGTTGATTTTCACGTTCTGATAATTTCAGGACAATGACTGCTTTTCTTGAAAAATCATTGATTGACCCAATTTCCTGAAAGATCGCTGCAACTCACAGAATCACAGTAAAATTTTCACTACTACCAAAGATTCACAGTGGCAAAATTTACGAAAATTTGTTGTTCATAAAATTCAATCGAGTATTACAGTTTTTAAAATAACAAAATTCAACTGAATTCATGTCATTCTCCTGTTTACAGGGCAGATTTGTTTTTTTAATCATCATGACTAATGTGCAAATAAAAAATTGTTAACAGAATATTTTGGTTTGTTAATTTAATCTTTTGTTTTCAATAAATCCAAGCATCATGGAGAGGGGGCACTGACATTTAATGTGAGTTCAGGAAATGATAGATCAAGATGTCATGCAGCCATTATTTGCACAACATTTTAGTCTTTATAATTGTTATTATTGACTCTGTTATCCAGTTAATAACCGGGATAATAAGAATTGGTAGTATCACATCGAGTAGTTGATGTAGATTATAATTAGAGAAGGGGGGGGCACTGACATTTAATGCGAGTTCAGGAAATGATACATCAAGATGTCATGCAGCCATTATTTGCACAACATTTTAGTCTTTATAATTGTTATTATTGACTCTGTTATCCAGTTAATAACCGGGATAATAAGAATTGGTAGTATCACATCAAGTAGTTGAAGTAGATTATCAATAGAGGTCTAATTCACTGCTTTTAAAAACAATGATGCACAGAATTCAACCATGTCAATACAAATACTATGTCATTACACCAGTTTCATTCTAGAAATCATGTTGTGCAATTATTGTGGATTAGGCCATAGATCTTACAGAGTCTATGACTAAACAACCATTTCATGGACCACTTACTGTTAACAAGCATCTCTAATCATGTACTGATGTCTACCGGATTCTGCTGTAAAATCGCCTTGTGTCGTTAAATGGCAGTTTGGGTTTTTAAAAAAAAAATGGAAGCAAGAAATCGCTCAGGGCAACTTCTCTGCATTTTTTTTAAGGTGTTTAAATATTTTGGAATCATTTTTTAGGATAAGATAAGTTGAAAATTATTTGCATTTCATAACAATTCAACGAATTTATTTTTTGCACGTGATTATTTGAAACTTTTTAAGAATATACTTTCGTTACCAATAACAAATTTTAAACAAATAATTGTATTTGGCGTATCAGGATCGTTAATGTTATTTTTTGGGGGGAGAAAGATGACACTGGTTGACATTGTAATGAAATTTTAGGCGGTCTACTTTTTAATTCAGCACGAAAAATGTATCAAATTTTAGATTAGCTTCTGCAATAGTTTTTTTCGTCTTGGATGGTCCAACTGCTGGCGTTGAAGGCAGGTGGGTTTTTCAATGAAAATAGAAGTCCCAAAAAAATATTTGATCATGATCATTTTTTGAAATTTTGAACCCCAAATTTATGACAGAATCCGGTATTTTCAAGCATTTAATTTGACCACTAGGTGGCAGTATATTATTTTATGTCTATTCCCCTGGTTGGACTTGACAAAATAATTCAGCAGCTTATTAATCGATATAACACATGGCCATCAACCCTCTTATACATTATAATTTTTCATCAAATTTTAGGGCATTATGAAATGTATGTGCATTAATATACATCTTTGTTAATTTTGAATAAAAAAGGACAATTTTCTATTGAATATCGGTACATACATACAAATCACGTGGGCTTAATTTGCGCAAAGGCAAATTAAATTGACTTTGTTGTTCAAATGATTTTAAGCTATTCTCAAAGTGGAAAGCAAAACCGTGAAAGGCAACAGACAGGACGTCTTTTATTTATAGCATAGATATTTAGAATCATTACAAACAAAGATGTGCTTTACTTGATTTGCTGTCCAATTTTACATTAAGTGACAACATGGTGATACAACTCATAGGATAACACTAAGGTTATTTTATCAGGCATAAATTCTTAATTATTACAATATGGTTTGTGTATGATTTCCCATACTGCACCACAAATTCTACCACTCTTTAGCACTAAATATTTTGAATAAACTTTAAGACCTGAATCATACATGTTGTATTCATTCTCAAAGTTCCTGCAGTTGAAATACTCGTACAATGGAATCCCATTGCACTGAACAGTGCACACTGCCCTCTGTGGCAATACTGCCTAGATTACCGGATAATACTGCAGCTCCACAATGATTATAAACTTGAAATGGGACAAGAAGTCAAGAATGCAGCACAAAATTGTTAATGTAGATACCGTCCTAATCAGACAGCCCCACCAACTTTAGACACAATATCTATCGATGTGGCAATTTGCCACCACAGGGGGCGCCAACTGTAAAACAAAGAAAGAATGACATCTTTAGGGAACTGATCATTACCACCAAGCCGGTTTCCTGGGAG